GACACACAGGTGGCACTGAGTGACACACGGGTGGCACAGGTGGCACTGAGTGACACACGGGTGGCACGGGTGACACTGAGTGACCACCCACTGTGCCAGACCTGCCTCGCCGCTCAGGTTACCTGGGGACACACAGGTGGCACGGGTGGCACTGAGTGACACATGGGTGGCACTGGTGACACTGAGTGACCACTCATTGTGCCAGACCTGCCTCCTGCCTCGCCACGCAGGTTACCTGGGGACACACAGGTGGCACGGGTGGCACTGAGTGACCTGCCTCACTGTGCAGGTTAGCTGGGTGACCACTCATTGTGCCAGACCTGCCTCACTGTGCAGGTTACCTGGGGACACACAGGTGGCACGGGTGGCACTGAGTGACACACAGGTGGCACTGGTGACATTGAGTGACACACAGGTGGCACGGGTGACACTGAGTGACACACGGGTGGCACAGGTGGCACTGAGTGACACACGGGTGGCACGGGTGGCACTGAGTGACCCCTCACTGTGCCATGCCTGCCTTGTCGTGCAGGTTACCTGGGGACACACAGGTGGCACGGGTGGCACTGAGTGACACATGGGTGGCACAGGTGACACTGAGTGATCACCCACTGTGCCAGATCTGCCTCACTGTGCAGGTTACCTGGGGACACACAGGTGGCACTGGTCACACTGAGTGACCACCCACTGTGCCGTGCCTGCCTTGCCACACAGGTTACCTGGGGACACACAGGTGGCACTGGTGACACTGAGTGACCACCCACTGCGCTGCGCCCACCTCGCCACACAGGCTACCTGGGGACACACAGGTGGCACCAGTGGCACTGAGTGACCACCCACTGTGCCAGACCTGCCTCACTGTGCAGGTTAGCTGGGGACAGAGGTGGCACTGAGTGACACACAGGTGGCATTGCTGGCACTGAGTGACCCCTCACTGTGCCAGACCTGCCTCACTGTGCAGGTTAGCTGGGGACAGAGGTGGCACTGAGTGACACACAGGTGGCACTGGTGACACTGAGTGACCACCCACTGTGCCGTGCCTGCCTCGCCACGCAGGTTACCTGGGGACACACAGGTGGCACTGGTGACACTGACTGACCACCCACTGTGCTGTGCCTGCCTTGCTGTGCAGGTTACCTGGGGACACGGGTGGCACTGAGTGACACACAGGTGGCACGGGTGGCACTGAGTGACACACAGGTGGCACGGGTGGCACTGAGTGACACACAGGTGGCACAGGTGGCACTGAGTGACCACCCGCTGTGCCAGACCTGCCTCGTCACACAGGTTACCTGGGGACACACAGGTGGCACAGGTGGCACTGAGTGACACACGGGTGACACTGGTGACACTGAGTGACACACAGGTGGCACGGGTGGCACTGAGTGACCCCTCATTCTGCCAGACCTGCCTCACTGTGCAGGTTACCAGGGGACACAGAGGTGGCAGTGGTGACACTAAGTGACCCCCCGCTGTGCCAGACCCGCCTCACCACACAGGTTACCTGGGGACACGGGTGGCACTGAGTGACAAACAGGTGACACTGGTCACACTGACTGACCCCTCACTATGCCATGCCTGCCTCGCCGCGCAGGTTCCCTGGGGACACACAGGTGGCATTGCTGACCCCCCGCTGTGCCGTGCCTGCCTCGCCACGCAGGTTCCCTGGGGACACAGAGGTGGCACTGGGTGCCCCGTCCCGTGTCACTCACCGGTGTGCAGGGACAGCCAGCCCTTGCGGTGCCCGATGTGCTGCGGGGCGTGCGCCTGCTCGTACGTCACCATCTTGTCACCCTTGCCTGCGCGCACCCGCGCCGCCCGCGCCTGCGGGGACAGCGCGTCAGGGGACAGGGACACGGACAGGGGACAGGGGGACACAGGGACAGGGACATGGGGACAGGGGACACAGGGACAGGGGACAGCAGGGTCAGGGGACAGGGACACGGGACAGGGGACAGCAGGGTCAGGGGACAGCAGGGTCAGGGGACAGGGGGACACAGGGAGACAGCACGTCAGGGGACAGGGACAGGGGACAGGGGGACAGGGGGACAGGGGATAGGGACACGGGACAGGGACAGGAGGACAGGGGGACACGGGGACAGCAGGGTCAGGGGACATGGGATAGTGGAGTCAGGGGATAGTGGGGTCAGGGGACAGCGCATCAGGGGACAGAGGGATGGGGGACAGGGGACAGCAGGGTCAGGGGACACAGGGACACCGGGGACAGGGGACAGAGTGACAGGGGACATGAGAACAGGGGACAGCAGGGTCAGGGGACACAGGGACACCGGGGACAGGGGGACACGGCCGCGGGGTGCCCGAGGGCTCACCTTGAGGCACACGGGGCTGCTGTGGAACTGCCGGGTGGCGCTGGGGACACGGAGGGCACGGGGAAGGACCTGCACAGTGACAGGGCTGGGCACAGCTGGCACGGGACATCCCGGTCCCGGGGCCGGGCACAGCTGGCACGGGACATCCCGGTCCCGCATCGGGGCCCCGGGGCCGGGCACAGCGGGCACGGACCTTCCCGGTCCCGGGGCCGGGCACAGCTGGCTCGGGACATCCCGGTCCCGGGGCCGGGCACAGCTGGCACGGGACATCCCGGTCCCCGGGCTGGGCACAGCTGGCTCGGGACATCCCGGTCCCGGGGCCGGGCACAGCTGGCACGGGACATCCCGGTCCCCGGGCTGGGCACAGCTGGCACGGGACATCCCGGTCCGGGGTCGGGCACAGCTGGCTCGGGACATCCCGGTCCGCAGGGCCGGGCACAGCTGGCACGGGACATCCCGGTCCCAGCACAGCCAGGGTGTCCCCAGGAGCAGCGCCGGTGTCCCCGCAGTGGGGACAGCGCTGGTGTGACCGCACAGCTGTGACCTGTCCCCAGTGTCACCGCAGCCCTTGGCCTCTCCCCCAGAGCCCCCCACGCTCAGTGCGCGCGCCCCCGGTGTCCCCAAACCCGGTGTCCCTTGTCACCCCCACCCTCAGTGTCCCCGTTCCCGGTGTTGTTCCCCCGTTCCCGGTGTTGTTCCCCCATTCCCGGTGTTTTTCCCCCAGTCCCCGCTCTCCCCTCACCATCAGCGCGCGCGCGGCCGCCGCCATCTTGGCTGTGAGGGAGGCAGCAGCGCCCCCTGGCGGCGGGAGGTCAGCGCGGGGGGGAATGGGGGGCACTGGGAATGTACTGGGGGGACTGGGAATGTACTGGGGGGACTGGGAATACACCGGGGGGCACTGGGGGTCCTGGGGACTCCCGAAGCCAACTGGGTGCCGCGTGAGCGCTTACTGGGAGCAACTGGGAGCTCCTTGGTGCCTACTGGGAGCCTTTTGGGGCTCTCCCAGCCCCCTTCCCCCTTACTCCCCCATTTTGGGGGTCTCCCAAGTGCCCCACTCCACCCCCACCACCCCATTTTGGGGGTCTCCCAGGTTCCCCACTCCCACTTTTGGGGTCTCCCAGGTTTCCCCCCCATTCTGGGGGTCCCCCAGGTTTTCCCCCCTTTCCCTCCCCATCCTCCCTTGCACCCCCAGGGGTGTTTGTGTCCCCCCAATCCTATGGAGGGTTGGGACCTCCCAGGAGGGTTTTGGGGTCCCACCCTGCCCTTTCTGGGGCTGTTTTGGGGTCATGCTGTGCCCCTCCCGGGGCAGTTTTGGGGTCCCACCCTGCCCTTCCCGGGGCAGTTTTGGGGTCTCACCTTGCCTTTTCTGGGGTTGTTTTGGGGTCATGCTGTGCCCCTCATGGAGCTGTTTTGGGGTCTCACCCTGCCCTTCCTGGGGCAGTTTTGGGGTCCCACCCTTCCCCTCCCGGGGCTGTTTTGGGGTCTCACCCTGCCCTTCCCGGGGCTCTTTTGGGGGTCCCATGCTGCCCCTTTCCAGGGCAGTTTTGGGGTCCCACCCTTCCCCTCCCGGGGCTCTTTTGGGGTCCCATGCTGCCCCTTCCCGGGGCAGTTCTGGGCTCCCCCCGCGCCCCCCCGTGCCTCACCGACTTTGAGGAAGGTCTGCAGCTCCAGGGGCCGCAGCGGGGGCTGTTTCTCGTGGGGGCCCAGCCCCTCGGGCAGGCTCTCCACCTCCACGCGGGGGCTGCGGAAGGGCTCGTAGGAGCCGTCGCGGTTCTGCACGAAGCTCCGGGTGATCTCCAGCGGCACCTGCGGGCCGGGCAGCGCTCAGGGCCGGCCCCGCGGGGCCGGGGGGGTCCGGGGCGGGGGGTCCCGGCCTTACCTCGGGCGTGTCGAAGATCTGCTTCACCTGCAGGACGTTGGTGATGTGCCAGGTGTACTTGGAGAAGGTGCCCAGGGGCAGCGCGTCCCTGCGCACGAAGGCTGCGGGGAGGGGTCGGGGGGGGCTCGGGGAGGGGCTCGGGGGGGCCGTGCCGGGCTCACCTTGGTGCACGGCCACATTGCAGCCGTGGCCGTCGCAGTAGACGAGCGGGTTCTCCGCCCAGCCGCGCTCGTCGGAACACACACAGCAGCCTCCCACCATCTCCTTCATACTTCCAGGAGGGTTTCCTGCCCCCCCCCGCCTCCCTCTGCGCGCTCCTCCTCCTCCTCCTCCTCCTCCTCCGTGCTGCCCCCTCCCCGCCTCTCCCGGGGGGGACAGCGGGGACAGCGAGAAGCCACGAGCGGGCGGGGCGAGGCGCAGCTGAAGGGACCGGGGGACAGCGCGGGGACAGCGCGGGGACAGCGGCCCAAGGCCGGGGGGGGGGGGTGGGGGGGCCGGGGGGGGGGCTCGGGGGGCTCCGGCCCCTTTGATCCTCCCCCCTCTTTTACTGTCCCTCTTGGTTTTATCAGCCCTCTTTGCTTTTCCTCTCCTTCCACCCCTTTTGTCCCCCTTTATTTCCCCCCCGCCTCTTCCCCCTTTACCTTCCCCCTCTTTATTTTTCCAGCTCTGTTTCCCCCTCTTCATTTTTACACCCCTTTTTTCCCCGTTTATTTTTTTCCCACCTCCTTCCCCCGTTTAATCTGCCATCCCCCTTTCCCCCCTTTACTTTTCCACCCCTTTTTTCCCCCCTTTATTTTTCCACCCTTCCTTTATTTTTCCCCCCTTTATTTTCCCCCACCTCTTCCCCTCTTTTATTTCCCCCCATCTTTCCCCTTTATTTTCCCCCTTTATTTTCCCCCTCCTCCCTCCCGTTTTCCATCTCCCCCTCCCCAGCACCCACAAAAAACCCGGGAATCCTCTCCGTGCTCCTCCTCCTCCCCCCACACAGCTCCCAGCAGGCTTTTCCCTTGGTTTTTTGGGGTGTTTTCCCCTTTTTCCTCACCCGTGGTGGAGTTGGGCAGCCTCTTCTTGCCGCTGCCGCTGGAGATGCGCTGCTGGAGCGCCTCGAAGAACGCCTGGGGGATGTGGAAAACCAGCGGCTCCGGGCGGCCTGCAGGGCACAGCGGGCTCAGCGAGGGGCTGGGGGGCACAAATCGTCACCCCAAAGTGTCCCCGTGGCTCGGGGGGTCAGCACTGGGGGAGTTCCCAGGGGAATGGTTGGGATTTGGAGGCTGACGCTGTTTTGGGGTCACTGGGAGGGGGCTGGGGGTCCCAAACTCTCACCCTCGAACTGGTAGTGCATGGTCTGGTGGATGCGCTCTGTGACACTGCCCAGCCACTCCTGGAAGGACAGGGACACCTGGGACTCATCCAGCGCCTGGGGACAGCCTGAGGGGACAGGGAAGGGACATTGGAACATCACCGTGCCCCAGACATCACCCCCAGAGCACACGGAATCCTGCAATGGCTGGAGTTGGAGGAGACCCCAAAGCTCACCTGGTCCCACCATGGCTCCCACACCTCCCACTGTCCCAGGGTGCTCCAAGCCCCGTCCAGCCTGGCCTTGGACACCCCCAGGGATCCCAGCTCCTCTGGGAATTCCATCCCAGCCCCTCTCCACCCTTACAGCCAGGAATTCCTTCCCAAAAGCCCACCTAAACCTGCCCATGGAATCCTGGAATGGATTATGTTGGAGGGCCCCCAAAGCCCACCCAGTGCCACCATGGGTCCCACAGCTCCCACTGTCCCAGGGGCTCCAGCCTGGCCTTGGGCACTGCCAGGGATCCAGGGCAGCCCCAGCTCCTCTGGGAATCCCATCCCAGCCCCTCCCCACCCTCAAACCAGGAATTCCTTCCCCAAATCCCCATCAAGCCGTGCCCACCCCGAGCTGGCAGTGCCCCAGGGCTCACCGTGCCTCTTCAGCGAGGAGGAGGATGAGGAAGGTGAGGAAGAGACGACGGGCAGCTTCCTCAGGCTGCTCCTCCTGGGGCTGGGATGAGCTGGGTCTGGAGCCAGGAGGGGCCCGGGCACCTGCGGGCCTGAGGGAGGCATTGTCACCCACTGCCACCCAAGTGTCACCCACTGCCACCCAACTGTCACCCACTGCCACCCACTGCCACCCAAGTGTCACCCACTGCCACCCACCTCCCACTGTCCCAGGGGCTCCAGCCTGGCCTTGGGCACTGCCAGAGATCCACGGCAGCCCCAGCTCCTCTGGGAATCCCATCCCAGCCCTCCCCACCCTCAAACCAGGAATTCCTTCCCCAAATCCCCATCAAGCCGTGCCCACCCCCAGCTGGCAGTGCCCCAGGGCTCACCGTGCCTCTTCAGCGAGGAAGAGGATGAGGAAGGTGAGGAAGAGACGACGGGCAGCTTCCTCAGGCTGCTCCTCCTGGGGCTGGGATGAGCTGGGTCTGGAGCCAGGAGGGGCCCGGGCACCTGCGGGCCTGAGGGAGGCATTGTCACCCACTGCCACCCACTGCCACCCAAGTGTCACCCACTGTCACCCACTGCCACCCAAGTGTCACCCACTGCCACCCAGATATTCCTGCTGTGGGAGGGGATTTGGGGGGAATGAACCCCAGATATTCCTGCTGTGGGATTTGGGGAATGAACCCCAGATATTCCAGCTGTGGGAGGGGATTTGGGGAATGAACCCCAGAGTCTGCTCTGGGAAGGGGTTCAGAGTTCCCAGCCCTGGAAAAGGCCCCCCAGCCCAGTGGGATCTCCGTGCCCACAGCAGGACGGGGCAGCACAAAGCCAAGCCCAGGGGATTTGGGACCCACGGGATGGTCTGGAGCCATCTGGGCCCAGGGAACGGCCGCTGGGAGAGCCCAGGCAGGTTTTTAGGGTGCCCCCCACCCCTGCCCGCTCCCACCGCTGCCGTCGGAGGCGAGGAACTCGGAGAACTCCCGGGCCAGGCTCTCGTCGCTGGCGAAGGCGCAGATGCAGGCCAGGAAGTGGACGCAGCGCGCGGGGGGCGACTCTTCCTCCTCTTCCTCCCCCTCCTCCTCCTCCTCCTCGTCCTCCTCGCGCTCCCCCTCGGCGCGGCCGTGCCCGGGCGCGCGGCAGGCGCAGGAGAAGCGCCGCCGCCCGAAGCTGGCGTGCAGGTAGCCCAGGCTGTGCCTCTGGCTGGCCTGGCACTTGACCACCAGCACGCTCTTGGTGACCCTCTGCACCAGCGGCCCCGTGGGCTCGGCCGCCAGCTCCCACAGGCTCCGCTTGGCCTCGGCGGGCGCCCGCACGGCGCCCAGCACCGAGCTCTTGAGCGGCAGCGGCGTGGCCTCGGCCCGGCAGCCCAGCGCCAGCTTCACGTGCTGGCACGGCGCCCCTGTGCCACCCTGAGAGCCCCTGTGCCATGCCAGCGCTGACTGTGACAGGCCCCGTGTCACCCCAGCAGTCCCTGTGCCACCTTCCCTCACCCGGGGCTCTCTCCCCTCACTCCAATCCCCGGGGCTCTCTCCCCTCACTCCAATCCCGGGGCTCTCTCCTTCCACCCTCAGGCCCGGGGGTCTCTCCCCTCAGCCCCAGGCCCCGACTCCTCTCACAACCAGCCCCGGGAGTCTCGTCCCCCCTTCACCGGCGCTTCCCGGGGTTTCCCAGCATCCCTCGCGGCCCGTGACGTCAGCTCCGTTACCGGGCCCGCCCCGGTACCTGGGCCCCGTTACCGCCGCCGGCAGAGCCGTGAGAGGGGCTCCACTTCCGCCACCGGCGCGCTGCTATTGGCCCGCTGGCATCACGTGTGCCCCGCGGGGGTTACTGGGAGCTGTAGTCCAAGGAGGGGCTTAAACCGCCAAGCGGCTTGGACTACAACTCCCAGCAGCCCCCGCGGCGAGACTCCCCCAATTTCCCTTTTCCCCCAAATTTCGCCTTTTCCCCCCGAATTCCACTCATTTCCCTCCCCCAAATCCCACAGCTCCACCCGCCCCCCCAACCCCAACGCAGCACCACGTGACAAAACACAGCACACAAGCAGCTCAGGTTTTTCATTTTCCTTTTTTTTTAAAAAAAAAGCTTTTTGGTTTTTTTTCCATTTTTTTTGAGTTTTTTGTGGTTTATTTTAAAGGCTGGGCGAGAGGTAGGATAAAAAAGGGCGTTTTTTGGCCTCTGACAGATCAGGTTTGGGAGCTCTTCTCACCTTCACTCCCTTGTGAAACACACCTGGATTTTACACAAGGGATTAAAAACTTTATATTCCAAGAGAGATCTCATACCCACAAAAAAAAAAGAAGGACACAAAAAGGGAAGATCTGAGGCACAAATCACATCAAAAGACTCCGTGTCCTACCTTTAAATAAGGAAAAGATACAAAAGTGGCCGAGGGTTGTGCAAAAATTCTTCAATTTGCTCTCAATATTTTACAGAATCAGTACAGGAAAATGTAGAAATCAGTAAAAAATTAAAAACAACAAACCCAACCAAGCCCCGGAGGGATCTGTCACGTTTTAGCAACAGGAATTTTGCTGTCCCAGGGTGGGAATCTTGGCTCAGGTGGGGAGAGCTGGGCACTTTCCAGTCCCTTTTCTTCAAATTTTATTTGATTTTTAAATTTTATATTTTTTCCCCAGCGTAAGGCAAAAACCCCAGCCCTGAAGAACACACTGAGATGCACAAAAAAAGGATGTAAACCAAGGATTTATGTGGCAGAAAAGGCTCCTTCCAAACGGAGCCTGGCTGCAGGCAGCTCCACATTCCCACACTTTTGGCTTCTTTCGGGGTGGTTTTGCTTTTTTTTTCCACCCCCCAGAGTTTTTTCTGAGGGAAAACCCCTGGAAAAAAATCCCAAAAAAAACCACCCCCCCCCGAGGATGAGTTTGTGCAATTCCCGCCGGGCAGCCGAGTCCCTGCAGCGCTCCAAAAACCTCCAGAATAAAAACCCCCCAGCCCGGGGTGTCTGGGGGGGTCCGGGGGGGCTCAGGGGGTCTCGAAGCCCACGCGGAAGCCGGGCTGGGGGGGCAGCACGGCGCCGTTCTGGCCCTGCACGCTGAACGGGGGCGGCAGCCACGGGGCCGGGGGCTGGCTCTGCCTGGGGAGAGAAAATGGCATTGAGGCATTGGTAAATTAAATAAAACCCTTCAGGGATTGGTGAAATGTCTTTAGGGATTGCTAAATTATCCTTTAGGGATTGGTAAATTAAATAAAACTCTTCAGGGATTGGTGAAAAAGCTGCACACTGAACGGGGGCGGCAGCCACGGGGCCGGGGGCTGGCTCTGCCTGGGGAGAGAAAATGGCATTGAGGCATTGGTAAATTAAATAAAACCCTTCAGGGATTGGTGAAATGTCCTTAGGGATTGGTGAAATGTTCTTAGGGATTGGTGAAATGTCCTTAGGGATTGCTAAATTAAATAAAATCCTCCAGGGATTGCTAAAAAAGCTCCACACTGAACGGGGGCGGCACCCGGGGGCTGGCTCTGCCTGGGGAGAGAAAATGGCATTGAGGCATTGGTAAATTACATAAAAATCCTTCAGGGATTGGTGAAATGTCCTTAGGGATTGGTAAATTAAATAAAACCCTCCAGGGATTGCTAAAAAAGCTGCACGCTGAAAGGGAGGAACCCACGGGGCCGGGGACTGGCTCTGCCTGGGGAGAGAAAATGGCATTGAGGCATTGGTAAATCACATAAAACTCTTTAGAGATTGGTGAAATGTCCCTAGGGATTGGTGAAATGTCCTTAGGGATTGGTAAATTAAATAAAACCCTTCAGGGATTGCTAAAAAAGCTGCACACTGAACGGGGGCGGCAGCCACGGGGCCGGGGGCTGGCTCTGCCTGGGGAGAGAAAATGGCATTGAGGCATTGGTAAATTAAATAAAATCCTTCAGGGATTGGTGAAATGTCTTTAGGGATTGCTAAATTATCCTTTAGGGATTGGTAAATTAAATAAAACTCTTCAGGGATTGGTGAAAAAGCTGCACACTGAACGGGGGCGGCAGCCACGGGGCCGGGGGCTGGCTCTGCCTGGGGAGAGAAAATGGCATTGAGGCATTGGTAAATCACATAAAAATTAAATAAAATCCTTTAGGGATTGGTGAAATGTCCTTAGGGATTGCTAAATTATCCTTTAGGGATTGCTAAATTAAATAAAACCCTTTAAGAATTGCTAAAAGCTCCACACTGAAAGGAGGGGCACCCACGGGGCCGGGGGCTGGCTCTGCCTGGGGAGAGAAAATGGCATTGAGGCATTGGTAAATTACATAAAAATCCTTCAGGGATTGGTGAAATGTCCTTAGGATTGGTAAATTATCCTTTAGGGATTGCTAAATTAAATTAAAATCCTTTAGGGATTGGTAAATTAAATAAAACCCTTCAGGGATTGGTGAAATGTCCTTAGGATTGGTAAATTATCCTTTAGGGATTGCTAAATTAAATTAAAATCCTTCAGGGATTGGTGAATTAAATAAAATCCTTTAGGGATTGCTAAAATATCCCTCAGGGATCCCTAAATAAGGCCTGGAGGTTGTGGGGAAGGGCTCTGGGGGGATTTGGGGTGATGGGGGGGCACTATCTGGGGCGGCGAGACTCCC